CTCGAAAGGCACTTGCCATGGGCCACAAAGAGCACTTGTTGCACATGCAGCTGCACTTGGCAACGTTGGTCTCTCTCACTTGCTGTCTCACTCGCACTCTTGGGCTGCAGCAGGGGTAGCCAAGTGACAGCAAAGCACGCGTCACAATCAAAACAAAATCAGCGAGAAGCAGGAGCAGGAGCAGGAGCAGCAGCAGGAGCAGGATGAGGCAGTATAAGAAGTGTAGAAGAGGAAGGCAGAGAGGGGTAGCGCGGGGCAGCGAGGGATGCGGGGCCTCTTCGTTCGGTTTTTTTTTCTCTCCTTTTACTTCTTTTTGCATTGCAATTGCAGTTGTTGAAGGTGACATTAATTGACGTTTAATGAGCACAAGCGACAAACGAGGGGTGGCAATTGCATGTCAAAGAAACGAACAGAGACAGACAGACACACGGAGAGAGAGAGAGAGAGAGAGAGAGAAAGACACTGATAATGAGAGAGAGAGAGTGAGAGTGAGCTAGTGCGAGTGCGAGTGAGAGCAGGCGTGAAGCCAATTAAAGTTGAAAGCTTTTCATGCCTTTTTATTTGCCAATATTTCAAGACACACACCAAAAAAGTGCATCCTCTCGCTCTCTATGTGTGTGTGTGTGTGTGTGTGTGTGCGTGTGGATGATACAAAAGGCATCATGCCCGGGGGTTAAAGGTTATATGTAGAAAAAGGGGGTTGCTGCACAATGGCCTGCATATTGAGCACACAATCCCTGCACGCTGCAGCCTCTGAGCAGGGGTTCGACGTTGGCTGCAGAGGGTGCGCCGGCCGCTTCAGTGGGCGTGCAATTTGCATTGGCTATGCAACCGGCAAAAGGGCAAGGAGTTGCATGGGGAGTGGGAGGGGCAGGGGATGTGGTGCTGAGGTTAGCAATCGGGCGTCGTCAGTCGGCGAATGATAGACGAACGCGACTCGTTTAGTGGCTTGATTTCAAGTTGCAACAGTCGCCGCAGCTGCACACATACATCTGTGTGTGAGTGTGCGCTTGTGTGGGTGCGTGTGTTTGCGTGTATCTGTGTGTGCTTGTGGCTGCCTGCACAACAAGTGCAACACAAAAATGGCGCGCGCAGCAACTGCAGCAGCAACCCTGCAAAGTATGCAATAAAAAGCGAATGCGTACTGTGTGCATGTGTGTGTGTGTGTGTGTGAGTATGTATGTGTGCAGAAGAGCGAGAGCCAGACATAGGCCTGACAAATGGCAACGCTTATATTTTTGTATGTCAGCATGTGCGTGCTCTCTATGTGGGCATTGCAATGCGAAGTGCAAGCAGGCAAGTTTGTGTGCACGTGTGTGTGTGGGTGTGTGAAGGCGGGCAAAGCGAAGCTTCGGGCAGCAGATCAGCGCAACGACTAACGAAGAGTCAAATAATTGAGCGAATGGCAAAGCGCAGAGCTGTCATTGTGTGTGTGTGTGTGTGTGTGTGTGTGTGAGTGTAAATTCAAATGCAATCGACTATAGGCATGCATAAATACATATGTACATACATATAGATGTATATATATATACGTGTCAAACCTAACAGAGCTTTTGCACTAAAACAGCTGTTAGCTAGAACGAGAGAGAGAGAGAGAGAGACCCACACAACAGCAGCAGGAGAGTGGAAAAGTGAGAGCTTGTGTGAGTGCGGGCGAAGTGTGAAAAGGTGTGTGAAGCAAATGACAGCGTAGGCTGAGCGAATAAATATGTGTATGTGTGTATGCATGTGTATGCATGCGCTTGTGCGTGCATTTCTTTGGCTGCAGCAAAATGGCGAATGCTGAAAATGTTAAGTGTGGCGCTTGAAAGCATAAGCAATTGATCAAAGCAAAGCAACAAGGCATATGGAAAGAAATGGAGAAAAAAAAAGGAGAAAGAGAGAGAGAGAGAGAGAGAGAGAGAGGTGATGGCGTGTGAACAGTTAACAGTTGCTATGTCCTGCAGCCTTGACACTGACAGCGAGAAGCAGCACAGATAGCTGACAAAAAAAGTAAAATAAATAAAAAATAAAAACCAGCAGACAAAGGCAAAAAAAAAAAAAAAAAAAAGCAAGAAACGTTTGCATCTATTGTGCGTAGCGTGTGAAGCAATGCCAGAGCGAAAGACCAGCAACAGGATGAAAGGGGCCAGGACGAGCGCCGGCACAAGCTGTAGAAAACAGGACATTAAACAATTATACAAGCCAGCCAAAAAAGTACAGACAGCAAACACACACACGCACACACATACACAGAGAGACGAGTAATTCAATAAGCTAAAACGGGCCAAGGGGCGGTGCGGGGGGAGCATAGCAGATAGAACTAGTCTGTACAGGATTATATAACTAGTTCACAAGTAAGCTAGACAGATATATAGAGTGAGCGAGAAAGAGAGAGAGAGAGAGAGAGAGAGAGAGAGAGAGAGAGAGAGAGGAGGTAAAACGAGCGAGCGAGCAGAAGCTGTTGCTGCTGCTCAAGCTTATTAGAAGGACGCGAAAGCGAACGCGCCAGGCTCAAGGACAGCCGCCTGAAAGGAAGCGGCGCGCGCGCCCTTGCTCCTATAGAATTGCTGCTGGCTTGCGGTACAGTTACGCCGTCCAGCTGGCGGACAGCGCAAAGAAAAAGCTTTCGCTGATCCTATTAGTGGACATAGTGGAGCATGACTCTCTAAGTACGTCTGTGTCTGTGTGTGTGTGTGTGTGTGTGTGTGTGTGTGTGTGTGTGTGTGTGTGTGTGTGTGTGTGTGTGTGTGTGTGTGTGTGTGTGTGTGTGTGTGTGTGTGTGTGTGTGTGTGTGTGTGTGTGTGTGTGTGTGTGTGTGTGTGTGTGTGTGTGTGTGTGTGTGTGTGTGTGTGTGTGTGTGATTGGTCACACGGGCAGCGCGCGTTTTCCACGTCTGTGGAATGTGCGCCCCAAGGAAATACGAATCTAATTTTGTGCAGTATCCCATCCCCCCCCTCACTCTCACATACTCTCTCTCTCTCTCTCTCTTGCGCTCTGCAGCATTCGCTCGTGTGCGGCTATTGAACTTTTAAATTGTTTTGAAAACATTTCGCGCTGCTCTCCATGCAGAGGAAGCACACACACACACACACACACAACATCCATATCCACACAACTTGAAAATGCATTAAATTTAGACACAGCTATGCGGATTACACAAGCGAGATCCAAGCGAGAAATGTGTGTGGAGAGTGGAGGAACAGAGAGGCAGGGGATGGGGTGTCTTGGGGCAAACACCAGACAGCTTCAGATTCATTCATGCCACGCGCCGTCGACCTACTCGGCATTTAAAATAGAAACAATTCCCGAATGCAACGAATGCCCCAGAATAACAGCAGCAGCAACAGCAGCAACAGCAGCAACAGCAACAACAACAATAACAACGACAACAACAGCAGCAGCAGCAGCAACAGACAGCAACTCTATGCCACACAAAGTTGCCACAGTTTATTGCTGCATCTGTTACATAAAACAAACTTCGGACAGTGCTCAGAATGTGCGCCCAAATTGAGCTCATCAGGAGATTATTGAGCAGGAAAAGCTGAACAGAGCAACTCAATGAAGGGCTATGGACGAAGAAGGCATATACACACGTATATATGTATGTATAAGTGTGAGTAATATAGAGAGATTCTGCAATGGCTCTTAAGACTCTTATGGAACTTAACTACAAAGAAATAGTTCTGCTCGCTTTAGTTAGTCTTTACTGTATTTATGACAGCCCTAGTACATTTTATATCTCCATGAAAAATAAACATCTCTCTCTCCCTATCACTCTCCTTCTCTATGAGTGCCTCTCTTTAATTTCATTTATATATCAGAGCTTGACAATAATTTACTTTCGACTTAACACTAGATTAAAGTCTAGCTAAAGCGAAATTTTAAATATAGCACATTATCGTATTTCAATGGATATTTATTATAATCTCTTACGGATATACGCTTAAGGGACCGTCGTCCTAACCGAATTCTACTGTATATAGAGTTGTGCTAAGGAAAATAGTAGTATTGCTTTAGATAAAGCAAACTAAATGAAAATATAGTAGAATCCGGTTGTAACTAAATTCAGGGAACCGGAAGACGCCATAAGTTTTTCTGGAATTTTCGTACGGACGCTCTAAGCAGAGTCATTATAACCGGATTCTATGGTAATTAATCTTTCATATAAGATATATAAATATATATATGTAGTTTTTGGTTCTATAAGCACCATTGAATGAGTAATGAAATCATATATCATATACATTATCTAAGCACAATGAACGATAATATATGAAGATATGCTATGAAGTTGTCTCCGGGATTATGGAAATAGTAGTAGCTACAGTTACTACTATCCCATACTACCCCCCATAGTAGTAGCTTCAACTACTACTATTTCCATGAACAAGGGCATAAACTAGTTGGGATTAGTTTAATTTTATATACTTTACTCTGCTTAAGTTATATATCTGTATATGTGATATACTATATGCATCAACTAAAATTTTTTGGAACAACTAAATCACCTTCACTTTTTTCTAAAGCCACTAATATTCGAATATTCACAAGTTTATAATGCAAAAAATTTTAAATTGCAATTATCCTCAAGCTGCTCTCAATATATTGCGATTAAATTATGTTGAGCAATATCTTTATGAACACAGCGGTATAGAATATGATGGAATATGATTTATAACTAACTCTAAAGACTTTGGTTTACCTTTGCGAATATATCGATATCTAAGAGAGTTTAAACTATTTCAAAATGTTTTTCATTTACATATACATATATCTATATTAATATATACATATATGTGAATGTCTATATATATATCTATATTTATCGATCTATCTCTGTATCTATTTATTTAATTTAATGCATACTTTGCTTGAAGCTTTGATTGATATACATTCGTTTCCTTATCAGCTCTACATACATATATGATATGATTATGAAATGATGATCATAATGATGTACATATGTACATGTGATGTACATACGATACATATTTATATTTGGCATTGCATCTACTTACCGATTACTGTTAACTGACTGATTGAGCGACTGCTTGGCCTGCCTGATTGATGGCGATTGATGCTGATTGCTGTTGCTGCTGCCGACTGTTTGGCGTCTATTGGCTGTTCCGAAAAGAAAACAATATATAAATAAATAGATCGCTATGCGGCCAGTGACAACAAATGTTTGTTGCACAGTTTTCCAGTCTTCCAATTGCCAGTTTCCAAATTCCAATGGCGTGCGTTTTCTGTGGCCTAACGGTACTGTGATATATACATATACATACGTATAACTATATATCTCTGCCTGAACTGTCTGTCTGATCTGTCTGTCTGTCTCTCTGTCGCCGTGTCTTTGGCAAAACTTCCTCTTCTATAACATTGGCTCGCTCGCTCGCTGCTGCTGCGACTGCTGATTTTTTTTTTCTTTTCACTGATGCTTTGATTAGGTATTCTTTGTTTTTTTTTTTTTTTTTTTTTTTTTTTTTTTTTCGTTTCTTGTAACTCTTCTTCTGATTTGAAATTGGGGTCCCACTTGCGATTTTGATGTTGGCTGATCAGTGTCTAATAGTCGTCTAATGGACTTGATCGAAAGGAAAGATAGATAAGATCAGGTACCTCTATCTGCATACATATACAAAACATATATTTATATGTATATGTATATATGTATTGTATTGTCTAAATGAATGGGAAATGTAAAGAGATATATCAAATATATATATAATTATAAATTATAAATATATAAATACATTAAAATATATAAAAAGAAATATATATAAATTTCTACAAATATATATATTTATATATTTTAATATATCTATCTATAGGTGTATAAAATTGAATTGGATTAATGGATGGCTTTTAATTACTTTTTGGATTTTTATTTTGGATAATTTTTGTTGTTGAGGGTGAAAAATTGAAACTGACGAGTGAAAATGAATTGATGAAATGTTCTGGGAAAACTTCAAAATTTAACAGCTCAACAAATGCTATCTAAGTTTCTCTTACAAAATAGAATCCAATCCAATCTACCCCTCCGTCCACCCACTTCCTACGCTATCATGCTACCGGGCCAGTGTTGCAAAGCGGCGCGGCACCAAATCTTTAATTTGATTGATTTTATGCGAAAACAAAATAACGAAAGGAAAACAACAAGAATTTGGATATGTTCGTGTTGTTGTTGTTGTTGTATTTGTTGGTAAAGGGAAGCTTATTGATTTTTGCGTAGGTGACAAAGAAGACGGCGGACAGAATCAGCAGCGCTAGGAGCAGGAGGCAGGAGCCAGAAGGCTGAGGCAACATGAGAGAGCGAGAGCGCGAGAGAATGAGAAAAAGAGAGATAGAGATAGAGAGAGAGAGAGAGAGAGAGAGAGAGAGAGAGTGGCTGTTTGTTAGGCTGTTAGGTGTGAGCGAGACAGCAGTCGATGCGTGCGAGTGCGTAAGACGCCGACGGCATCGGCAACGGCAACGGCAGCGGCTGCGTCGCCGTCGACGTCGCTGCTAAAGAAAACTGGAAAATTCTTGCTTACAATTACAAATTATCAATTGTTTTAAATTGATTACGGTTATTCGGATTGCGTTAGCGTGCGTATTATCGCTATCGGCATTGATATCGATATCAATATCGTTATCGCTTTTGCTTCACTTTTGCACTCTTCCAACAGACAAAAAAAATGAAGAAGAACAACGACGACAACCACGGCGGCAACGGCGACGGCGACGGCGAAAAATAAATTTTGTTATGTATTTTCTTGATTATTTCTTGCTTTCTTGCTTGCTTGCTAGTTGACTATTTCGCTTTGCTTTGCTTTCTTTCTTTATTTGTTTTCTTGGGTTTTGGCTTGGTTTCGGTTTTCGGTTTCGAGAGCTGAGAGTCGAACGAACGAACGAACGCGCGGCACGGCGACGAGTAAACTGCCAACGACGCCAAAGCGTTTCAATGAAAATGTCTGTGGAAAATCCACGCAGTCGCAGCAGCAGCAGCAGCAGCAGCAGCAGCAGCAGCAGCAGCAGCAGCAGCAGCAGCAGCAGCAAAGGCAGCAGCAGCAGCCGAGCAGCTGTCGCTGGCTGCGAAGTCACCGTCGCATTTTTCCTATCCACAAACAGTGAAAGTTGTGCGTGAGCTGTTCTTCTTCTTCTTCTTATTCTACTACTTCTTCTGCTTGTTGTTCTTGTTGTCGTTGCGGCGGCGTCAAATCAAAATGGCCGACATGTATGTAACGGTGCCTGTGCGTGAGCGTTTTGCGTGCGTATATGCATGGATGTGTGCGTGTGTGTGTGTGTGTGTGTGTATGCGTACGCTCAGTCGTTTCAGTGTGTGCGTGTAAGCGGGCGTCTATCCACTCGTTTATCCGTCCGTTCGCCCATCCGTCCATCCGTTTACAAAGTCGGCTGCTCGACGGCGTCCGTGTCGAGTCGCTGAGCAGGCGTTGCTCTCGCTTGTTGTCATTGCCTTTGCCTTTGCCTATGCCTTTGCATTTGCTGTTGTTGCTGTTATTGTTGCTATCAGCTTAGGCTACAGTGCCTAGCAGCAGTTGAGAGTCGTATGATAGCAAGATGTTGCAATCAGTTGAAGATGCCATTAAATTTTGTGTGCAAATTTTTAATGATTTTTGATATTTAGAGATATACGAAAATATGTGAAAATAATTTGAAATTTATTTACTATTATTTATTATTTATTTTATTAAATTAGTGGCACATTCAAAAAATAGACCATAAAATATAAATTAAATCTTTTTATAAATAATTAATATTTAATATTTAATAATTATTATCATAATAATTAATTAATAAATATTGAAACTTAAAAATAGAGAGAAAAAAAAAATAATATAAATAAAATAAAATAAATAATTTGAAATTTATTTACTATTATTTGTTATTTATTTTATTAAATTAGTGGCCCATTCAAAAAATAGATCATAAAATATAAATTAAATCTTTTTATAAATAATTAATATTTAATATTTAATAATTATTATCATAATAATTAATTAATAAATATTGAAACTTAAAAATAGAGAAAAACAAAAATTTAAAATAATAATAATATAAATCTATATATATGTATGTATGTATATATTGCATATTTTCAATTATCTATAAATATTATTATAACAATACTATATTATAATACTTTTAATTTAATATTCGATTTATTTATTTTTTTTTTGATATGTAGTTTTTCTCTTGAAAAATTAAATTAAATAAAATAAATTGCATTTTAATTTATTTAAATTTTATTAAAGTATTCAATGTACATAGAATTATGGCAGCCACCGTAGCAGTTCTGTTGACCTGTGCTCCTCCATTGAAAATAAAAATAAATAAAAAACATAGAGAAGAAATTAAAACACCGCCGCCAATGTTCCAAACGGATAACCGAATATTTTCCATGTGAATTGGCTTCGCATTTGTGGGCTGTGACGCCAGCGGCGCTGTTGGCGCTGACGCCGGCGTTGACATTGACGTCGCTGTCGCTGAGAGCGAGCGGGAGCGGCACACACATACATACATACACAGAGGGTGAGAGCGAGTTTTCTTGTCGTGTTTGTCGTGAAAATCCAAAAACGAAAAACCAGGAATAGGAGCCACAAAGAAGAAGAGAAATAAAAACACACACGGAAAATAAAAGGAAAAGCAACGCGTGGAAAACGAAAACGCCAGGATAGCCCTTGTTGGCCACAAGGGTGGCAAAGGCAGACATAGCCGCTGTCGCTGCCGCCGTTGCCGTTGCCGTCGCCGTCGCCGTCGGCGTCGCAGTCGCAGTCGTTGGCAGCGCAAGCGACTGCAATAGCAGCTCACAGACACAACGCTAGCTGCTATGGAAAATGCGGAAAATTCAGCTGCCTGCCTATGTACACGTGTCAGTGTCTCTGCGTGTGAGTGCGTGTGTGTGTGTGTGAGTGAGAGCGACAGAGCGAGAGTGAGTGAGTGAGTGAGTGTATTTGGCTTCGCCTGGCAGCCACGTTTACGTTTGCTGTTGAGTTGCCGTGGCTTTATCAGAGAATCCGCTATAATTTCTTATTTTCTTCTTCTTCATTTTATGCTTGTTTTTTATTTAGCAATTGCCGAAGCACTCAAAGGAGCTTCGAGTGGATTCACCTGTGCCCACGTGGCCAAACGCCCACCGGCAACTAGTTTCGCTTTACTACAGCTGCTGCTGCTGCTGCTGCTGCTGCTGTAACTAACGGTTCTACGTTGATTTTTACTGTTCCCATGTTAACGCTGAGCAGCGGCAGTCCTCATTAAGCTCATTAAAAAGCCAAATTCTTGGTGGATCTATGGATAATCAGTAATTTGGATAACACATATACATTCTATATATAGATTTATGCAGATGTGCAGATATACATATACATATATGTATGTATATATAGATTTGGAATCACAGAGTCTGCTCTGTAATACATTTAAGCTCTTTTAATGCGATCTAGATATATATTTTGGGTCAAGTTGAATGTTGGGTCAAGTTATATTCTCTCAAGCGAGAGTCTCAGAGTATTTAAATATTGATTTGATTTGCTTAATATCGGGTGAGCATATCTCAAGGACATCGAGTGCTAAAGAGCCACGAGCTTTGTTGTGTGGATTTCCTGGTATTCGAACAAGATTTTTCATATTATTAAATTATTTTATTCTTGAACTATAATAATTTTGTATTTTATAATATTTATATCATTTTAATTTATTGTGCATAATAATTGCAGAAATTATCTACATATGAAAATGCATTGAAAGTAATATAATAACAATATTAATAATATATGAATTACATACGAGTATTTTAATAAATAAAATATATTGAGCTACAGCTATATTGCATCCTTTTAGAATATCTGGAATATATTCTTAACAAAAAAGGTTTAGTTTAAAATTTGGGATGCTATGAACCTTTACGAATTGTGGAATTACTAGGATAGATTAGGCTAGAGAGAAAATGAGATTTTAGTCTTTATCAATACAAGTTTGATATAGCAATATATATACCATATCTATATGTATGAATATACGTGTAGATATTTATATATATATGTATAGTAAGAGGAGTATGCAAACAAAATATATATTATATCGATATTGATATACGAGTATGTATATCAAAATATCTTTTTCCAAAACCTAAATATAGATTAAACAGATATTGATATTGGTTAGCTAAAATGAAAATGAGTTTGTGATAGCATATACATACATAATTAGGTATAAGTGCTATAAGTAGAACAGACAGAAAACAACTTAATCCCTTCGTAGCGAGCTATAAGATCTTTATTGGAAATACAAGCTTTATGTATAAAATAAAACAAATGAAATGAAATTTCATGAAATTTTAATCAATTGATTGACGGAAATTATGATTGATGCACTTAAATATACATACTTGGCTTTAGCTTAAGTATATTAGAAGATCTTGATATGATTTTAAACTGTTATTAATGAAATAATAGTTTCAATCATAGTCATAATCATAATACCATCCAATATACTAAACATTCTTTATCATGGGATCTACCTTAGGTCTAACTTCATTTGTAATGTAATATTAATAACTTTACTAAAAGTGTATATCTATTTTGTAAGCCTTATATATTATTATTATATAACCCTTATATATTCATCTACCCATTTGTCCATATATCAATCAATCTGTGTTCATCTAAAAAAATCCACAAGATTATGAAATAACAATTAAAAAGTCAAATCGAAATTTCTGAATTGTTTCAGTTCCATTCTCCACTTGGGCTACCTCTAATATCTATTTACAAATATTTGGCGTTTGTCTTTTATCTATGATAATGTTTTTTTCTTCTTTCTAATTTCTAACACATTTTCCAGCTGCGTGTGCTTGACGGTGTTCAAGGCGCTGCCACCAAGTTTAACAGTGACCTTGCAACATTTCGGTTTCGGTTTCGGTTTCGGTTTCGTTTTCATTTGCTTCCTCTGCTTCTTCTGGTTCTTTCACATTTTGCGATGCCCTTTGCTAAATCCGATGCGCACCCCAAAAAACTTGGCATTCGACGATTTGCCTGTTTTGTTGTTACCAACTCACACACACGCACACACGCACACATGCACACACATACAGCATTGATATAAATTTGTAGACATTCCCTTTCCATTAAATGCTATCGTCCCATTTTGGAAAATGCGTCCGCGACTTGCGTAGTTTTTCAACCCCAGGAACGGGTGTGCAAGGCGTCTGAATGCGTATGGCATGGATTGGAATGGAATGTTACAGCCGTCGCTGCTACTACCCTGATCCGGAGCCGGGCCACCAGCCCGTCCCGGCTCGGCTCAGCCCATTAAACAACCACCCACCCCCGGTTTGGGTCTTAGTGCGTAGTTGGATTCGAATTTGGAAGTCGCTTTGCTATGCCAGCGCATCCCGCCTGAATGTGTCCGATGTCTGCAGTTGGCGAGCATGTTGCGTCTTACATCACACACACAAACACACACACACGCATACGCACGCACAGCTATGTCTGGCCGGTGTGTGGCTCGCACACCACCCAAAGAGTAAAGCTGCGCCGAGTGTCCCGTTACGCGTTCGCCTGCCATCTCTGTCGCACGCAAAGGCCACGGATCGCAACGTCATGGAACGGCAAGGATGATAAACGTGCGTTGGCTTTGCCTCCCCCTTGGCCGCTGCTGCTGCTGCTGCTGCGGCGGCGGCATTGTTGTGTGAGCCTTTGATTTCGGCTGCTTCCTCTTCCTCTTCTTCTTTTCTTTTTTTTTTTTTTATACATTTTATTTATTTAACTTTTTTTTGTTCATATTATTATTAT